TATAACGCCCCCACGGCTGAAAGAGGGAGCATGTTTGGGGGGACGGGGATTTGAACCCGCGAGCCTCAGATTGCGAGAGGAGCGCCCTAACCACCTGGCCATTCCGGGCCGTAGCAGAACAGGTGTTATCTCTAGAGAATAACAAAGGAACTAGGATATCTAGAACAAATCAACTTACGTCTTTTTAACCACTTCCTATGTGTAAACGTCATAGATTCAGAATATAAAATTTTTTTGGGCAAAATTATATATTAAAATTATAATGTAGAAAACTCATAGTAGACCTGCATATCACCACCCTAAGTCAATACCATCACTTGGAGCCATCATTTGTGAACATCCGCTTACTTTTTTTATGTAAGTAAAATACATTAGGCTTTAAGATTTTGGGATATAGATGTTCAAATTGTACTGTGCACCAAGACATGTACTGTTAATTAATTTCGTGTGTAAGTAGTTTCCTATTTCAATAGAAATGGGTTGAATAACAATTTTCATCTCCCTACATATAAACATTAACTGGTCACCTTATTAAGACACTCTCTTAATTTTTATGGAGAGTTAGTCACAAATGTGTTCCTGTTAAAAGTGATTATGCTAGATAGGCATCTGTTATCATACCCATTTGAAAGTCAGAAAAGTGTATAATCTTATTTATTGTTTTGCACACTAACTATGGTATACTTTCATACGCATTCATAGGCACATCTGGCACTTTTAGGTGACATGACCGATCGTATAACTGATTATTACTTAAACTTCTTGTTCTCGGCTAATCATGGCTTGGTCAAATGTGGAAGTACTATGTTTTGTATCATGGCTTGATCAAATGTGGAAGTACTAGTTTTGTATCATGGCTTGGTCAAATGTGGAAGTACTATGTTTTGTATCATGGCTTGGTCAAATGTGGAAGTACTATGTTTCGTATCATGGCTTGGTCAACTGTGGAAGTACTATGTTTTGTATCATGGCTTGGTCAATTGTGGAAGTACTATGTTTTGTATCATGGCTTGGTCAAATGTGGAAGTACTATGTTTTGTATCATGGCTTGGTCAAATGTGGAAGTACTATGTTTTGTATCATGGCTTGGTCAAATGTGGAAGTACTATGTTTTGTATCATGGCTTGGTCAAATGTGGAAGTACTATGTTTTGTATCATGGCTTGGTCAATTGTGGAAGTAATATGTTTT